CTACTTCCACACCCACGGGGGCTTAACCAAGACTTAGGCTGTGAGAGTGCGAGAAAGGCTCCAAGACACTCTCGTCCCAGAACCTCCTACTACTTCCACACCCCACGGGGACTTGCCTCAACGTGGGCTGCGGTATTGCTAGCTGTAATGAGAGTTGCACAAGATGAGTTATGTCCTGATCGCCGCCTGGCCTTCGTTAGTCGCTTATTTATGAGTGAGGCCGCTCAGTAATTTCGGTTATTAAATTGTGTTTGCCCTCTCTCGACGTTTATCTTACTGCCCAGGTGTGAAATGCGGTGGGCGGCGCGCGGTCCGCTTCCACGCCTCGAATTATTGCCTGCATATCTCGAGACCACAATGGTTGTTCAAAGAAACGATTTTATCAGAGGAGGTTATTTACTGCCCCGACCCAACGACCGGCCTCGCCGATCCGTCGTAAATTATTTAATTACAGAGTGGCCGCGCGGAGGTGGACTTACCGAGGTAATTAATTTATCGTCCTAGTGTGAGATAGTGTAAGACAAATAATGTATGTTTGTTAATGAATAAGCAGAGTCGGCTCGCACCGGACGTGACTGGCGAGACACATGGCTAATTATAACTATACGTGGCTCGGGTAATGACCGCAGTTTATCATTACAAAGTCCCATATCGCTTCTGTTTTGCAGGCTCCTAAGCTGAGCAGCGATCATGTATGTGGGTCAGGATCGTGTACTGAATCATACTGGAGAGTATTTGGATTTTAGTATTTGAATCATGTGTATATCGTTGATGCTGTATATAAATACGTTACGGTAACTCTAATTTGTGTAACAAAATACAAAAAATAATGGAATAGCCCATTTAATTTAAAGAAAATTTGTCTTATTCTTTACACATTCTAGAAGTCATTTATTCTTTAGCTTCAACACAGTTCACTGAAAAAGAAATAAATGCTATTATCAGATGTTATGAATTTGTGCAACTTTACATCCACCACACATTTTACAACCAGCGAAATGATCTACTGTACTACAATCATAGAATATCTAGGGGTTTCGGGGAGGGGAGGGGGTTATAGTATATGGTAATATAATCTTATTAGCTTTATCCTCTAAACTAGATTCAAACACACAAAGAGAAATAATTATTTTGTGAATCTTGTTTGTGATTTACAGTTGAAATAAATGTATACTCATAAGAAAATATCGGCTCATTTTACCCTAATGGCTGCAGTATTTAAATAAATTATTATGAGCTAGGTTCCCATACGTTGGGGTTCAGTATTGTCGTTACTTTCCATCCCAGTATATAAAATATGCCTTACAACACGAATATTAAGAGTAGATTGGTAAGTTTTCACTTAAAACACAAAAGGTTCTTTGGCTAGCACACAATGAAAAATGTATTATCACATGACAACCCAACATGTGGCAATAACTATTAGCAATGCAAAATACTTAACGCCAGCGGAGAGTGCAGAGCAAGCCAATAGGATGTCGGATTAACGGGAGACAGACCAATAGGCTGTCGGATAAACGAGAGACAGCCGCGCCAACATCGCCGTTCTCTAACTATATTACTCCGCGTTATCTTAGAATGGGACTCCTTATGTTGGGAGAGCGTCGTTTACTAGACAAGTCATTAGAGCAATTCTGTTCGGTGTTCTAATGGAGCTGACAACACCACGACAAGACTGCTTGGGCTGTTTCATCCTCATGTTCTAATTTGAATAGGTAAAACACCAGTCTCGTTTGGAGTTTGTTAGATTTATTTATTTGTTTGTATTCCGTGGGGAAATTACAATTCTTGTTTGTTTAGACAGTTGATTGATTAATGCAAGTTGTCAATTTAAAGACTCAAAAGAATTGTGTGAAAAGTGGTTTATCTTTTGAGTGGTTGTATCGTGTTCGTTTATTACATGGCACAGATTTCCTGTTTAAATATTCCAAAAATTTTACATAAATAGCACACAAAAATATGGTCATGAGGGTTATTAATTAAGAATGTTTACGGTTTGTATCATCTCCGTTTTATTTTCTTAAGTGCAGCACCTATAATATACTCTTTGAACTGAGTAATTTTCTTTAAAACGCATTGTTCAAGTTTAAGTTTATAGTATCAAAACACCTGAAATAATTTTATGGGGAAATTTATGCTAGTTAAAACTAAATATATCCCAAAGGATATTATCAAATGTAAACATTGTAAACATGACTGCGTAACCCAATACTGGAGATATAGCAGCAAAGCTTGGGGGAATTGTGTTCTTTTGTGCCCTGAGTGTGTTTTGTCGTATTAGGGGAGATAGAATTCTTAAAAGTGCTATGTAGCAATCATAATGCTGATCGTTGTTATGGTATTGTTTTTCATACAAATGAATAAAAAAAATATTGATTATTCATTTTTAACTTCTAATTTTGTTGGTGGTAATATTGTTATCGTCACTTTTACTTCAATATTGTTTGGATATAGGTTTACTTCCATGGTTATACTTGAAGAGACCAATAAATACCACTAAATACATAAACGGTGCTTGAAGAAGAAGTTTTTAACAGCTTTTATTGCTTTTTGGTTAGGTTTCTGTTTATAAAACACAGATCACCACATAAAATTCCAAATATTGTGGTTGTTAATGATAGTCCTAACATATTGGAAAATTGTTAAAATTGTTCTCAGTTGACAGAAACTTGCTACTTCGTTAATAGGACGGAGTGCAAGCTTTTTTTAAACTAGCTCAAGTTGAATTGGAAAGCTTAAACACAGTTTGCTATATCTCTTTCAATTACAGGTTATACTAGTGACATCAAGAGAAAAAGGAATCCACAGTGTGTGGTCGTTCGATAAAAATAAGTTTTTATACCAGTAAAATAGCACAATCCTTTATTTCATTCCTCTCACACGTTAAAAAATCTCTGGCTAATTGGAAGACCCGTAAGAGAGTACTGTGATTCCACCGATACCCTGGCGCTATTTCACACCTGCAAGGGATCTCATAAAAAAGAAAACGCACCGTGTGAGGTCTAATGGAGAAAGGTGGACCATAACAATAAGTTGATACGACAAGATAAGGGCCACCGGCGACTAGAGAGGCGACGTTCGATGGTGTAGCGGGTGTGGAGATATCGAACAATCGATTGTATCGACCAGCTCCAATTACAGGCCAATAACATGGCGTGTGTATGCGCATGTCACCCGCCGCCGTGCCGCACTAGCGCTGCGCATGCTCTAATGGATCCATTTTATGGTAATGGCGAGCCAGATAATGTCGGACTCGCGACACTTTATAGACCTCGGAGAGGCTTGTGGCTGGGTGGTTGTGGAGATACACGCACGACAACGCTACGTACAACGAACACCTTCGCGAACATCGGGCTACGTGATAAACTGTCCAGGCTTCAACTTGGGTAGGTAAATCAGCGGGGGATAAGTGGGAAAATGTGATTTTAATTAATGTCGGGGAAGTCGGAATGTTGTGTATATAGTGGCTATGGGAACCTAAACATGATATCTAAGAGAGAGGACAAATATACCCATCAAGTGCACTAATAAAGGTGTATTGTTTCACTGAGACAAAACTTGAACAATTATTTTACTTTAACATTGTTGATCATTATGTTTCCGAAGACTTAGAAAGTAGTACTTTAGTTTCTGCCAAGATACACAGTAAAGTATTGAATTTCCTATTTACCAAGGAACTTATCGAGATTTTTTTAACCATGACACGGTAAATAATGTAACTACTAAGACATGCATTTGAGTATTTAACCGTTAAAGACCCAGGGAAATGTTCATTTACAAACAGTGAAGTATATTTCAACCTCCAAGACAATGTGTTTCATCTTCTAAGGCACGGTTAATTATCTATTTTTCTACACAGTGACTTCTCATCGTTTAAACACTAAGGCAAACAGTAACAAAAGTCACCACCAAGGTAACCTAACTACCTTGTAGTATATATGGTACCAGTGTCTATTTAAGAAGACACTCCTCCAAATATTAAAGTATTTATTTAAAATACTTAACCACCAAGAAACGCAATTGTATATCACAAGACATAGTGCAGGTTATAGTCACTAATACACATTCTGTATGACGTATGGGTATCTGTTACTCACCAAAACACACAAAAGATATTCATTCAAAGATACACTATTTGTCTACCAAGACAAATTGAAGTGTCCTAGTGAGGCATCTGTCTACCAGAACAAACATTGAAGTATCGTTTATCCCTCAAGACGTACTATGACGTATTCTTTACCCTCCCCTAGACTACAGCTCATCCATCTCTCTACGTTGGTGCCTCCATCGATCATTGTAGAGGGTGATATACTCGACCCTTGACAGTTAACCTCACCTCTGCCCCAGGGCGCTCTCCGCTCTCCACTCTCCACTCTCCGCCTTCCCCAAGACTACCCTTAGATAGTATATTGTTCCCTCACATTTTGCTTTTATAGAAAACTAGATATCTTTTCATTGGCCAATGAAAAGACAATTCTAGTGAGGTTTATATTAAGTTTATTATAATGTATCTGAGCATTTTCTTATTTCAACGGTGCAGTCATTTTATTACCAACCAACTAAAAAATACAAGATGCAATTAGAAACAATTTGAAAATAGCTTGTAATTCAAGTGTAGGCTATTTTCGAATGAGTGACTTAGACCCCTGGAATTTAACATACAAACCATCAAACCATAGGTGATTTGTGTAGATCTAACTTAATCAAGCATTTGTAAACAGCTCCAAACGTATTTTTATAAGATAAGTTACAAATATTCGATGATTTAAACACTTGGCATAATTTATATACTTTTAAACTTTTGAATGACTCCTTATGTAAGTTTTTAAACTTATCTGTCTAAATATTTAGGATAGTTTGGATGCCAAAAGTAATGCGTTTTGAAAAATTAATTTATATTGTCTTTAATATTAAACCTTGCTTTTAAAATAAGTGTTATGGGTGAATTAGAGAATAAGACATTTTGACTTCGTTTACAAACTTTATTGTCATTTATCTGCACAATGTTCTTTTTTTCTCTCAGCAGCTTTGGTTACATATGTATCTAATTTGGAAAACAATTGTATTGTATTATATGTTTTCCATCATATCATGAAATTATAAGTGATTACCAAAATTTGATTACCATTGCTGAGACATAAGCATATATTAGCATCAGTATTGAATACTGATACTTTGGTATCAGTTTTAATTTTTTAGGTAATGCCAATACGACCGAGATTCAAGATAAAACTATAAATACTGTAACATTATTCACCGCCAAGTGATAAATCACTCTACTTAACCTCGGCATTATACCGAAGGTCGATTTTAATTAGAAAGGCGCCATTAAAAGACACCATTACTCATACCGCCTTTGAGAGGAGGGCGCAGTGACGCGGAACCTTGTAAAAACAAATTAAAAGCCAGTATTTCGCTCAGTAGCCAGCTTAATTGGCGAACTAATGAATATTTATCCCCGACAAACTCTGATACAACGCCGTTGGGACCAGTAAATAATCCACTTTGCGCGCCTTTATGACACACTAAAATGTGTTATTAACTCCTAGTATATAGCGGCCATTACTTTTATTAAATTCATAATTTATGTGGCGCATTTGACGTATTGCCCGTCGCTGCGGGTTTCCTAATTATAATCCGTGATGAAAGGTCTAATCTGGCTCCGGCCTCAGGCTCAGTTTTGTTATTGGCTTCTGTTTTATTTATCACGCCCATAAAGCGAGGAACACCACCTCGCACTTTTGACTTATCTTCGATCTTAATTCGAAGTAATAAAGTCAAAAGCGTTTTTACTGTTCGTGCAATTAAGTATGTATGTGAGTTTATAGCGTCAGTTTTGTTTAAACATTCATGGGTATATTTAATTCTGTACTAAATATTCATGAATTAACTACCCCCAATTATAATTTTATAGGTATTTTAATGAGGGCGTTGGTTCTATTATATGTGAACACCTTACTAATATTTTGAATGTTATATACTTTTTTGAACTTGTTTAAGTCTCAAGAAAAATAATAATATACTTTAGAAGCATGAGTTGTACTTATAACACAATATACATATATTTACAGTTTGGAATTCCATCTAGAAGATTCCGTGGCTCCCCTCGTGGGTGGTTTCATGTTGGAACTCGTGGTGTCCATGTTGGAGCTCATGGTGCCCATGTTGGAACTCGTGGTGTCCATGTTGGAACTCGTGATGCCCATGTTGCAGTTCGTGGTGCCCATTTTGGAGCTCGTGATGTTCATGATGTCCGGAGTGTTTCTCATGATGATACACCGGTACATGGACGGGGTAGGGCACATGCTTCTCAACAGTGTAAGGAACTTTCTTCTCCACATAGACGTTGTAAGGCTTAGGCACTGAAACTGGGTAAGGCTTTTCCACCGGCACTTCTACTGGGTAAGGCACCTTCTTCTCCACCGGGTAAGGCACGTGCTTGTACACAGGATAATGCACTGGGTAAGGCTTGTCGACGTACACCTTCACTGGGTAGGGAACTTTCTTCTCCACGTGGTAGGGCACTTTCTTCTCGACCACTACGTTGTAAGGCTTAGGCACGTGGACGGGGTAGGGTTTGTCGACGTGGTAGTGCACTGGATAAGGGACTTTCTTGTAGACTGTGTACGGCTGGGGCACATACTCCTGGACCTTGTAGGGAACTTTCTTCTCGACGTAGACGTTGTAGGGCTTTGGCACTTCCACGGGGTAAGGCTTGTCAACAGGAACCTCCACCTTGTATGGGACTTTCTTCTCCACCTCCACAGTGTACGGCACGGGAACTTCTTTCGTCACAGTCACCGTGTTGATCTCGTGGTGATGATCCTCCTCGTGCTCGTGCTTGTGTTCTTCTACCTTGGGATGTTCAAAGTGTCCATGGTGTTCGTGTTGAAGTTCTCCGCCGTGATGTCCATGGTCAAATCCCTGAGACTGCAGGACTCCTAAGGCTAGAACACTCACTAGAACTGTTTGGAAGCCCATGATGAACTGATATCGTCTACTCCGTACTCGCAGCTTATATACCTGTAATTGCATGCTCGGTGCCCAACCGTGTGTGAGGAATGCAGGATGCTCGCTGCAACTGATTGGAATTTATATAATTTAATGACAGACAGGTATTCGGCCGAATCGCCCGCTCGTCAGCCTGGTTCAATCTCACTTTCATTACGACGTTATGAAGTTTGGTATAAAAATCAATAGCGTTATAAATATGCATAATGCATGAACATAGTAAGACATTGTAGTTATACACCACTGTTGATTCATTTTCATCAAATTATATTTCTTTATTTAAGGCACAACAATATTATATTACTTACATTACTGGTGTCAATGACGAACAAGTATTTTTTACAATCATTTCCTTCAATTACAGGCATTCATGTGGAATCCGCCAGAATATTAGTGTGCAATAAAATAGTTTATTTCTAGTTTGGGCCTTTTATGATAAATTATCACAAAATAAGCACATATCTAAAATAATTTTTCTCTCATATCGTATGTGTTATGTATTTACTGCTGGTTATGAAAAAATAATAATATTATAAATCTATGTAAATATTAATTAAAATTACCATCCCCGCACAAAATCTAAAACGTTATTTTATTTTTACTTTACCAAACTCAACAAGCTAGTTATTATATTTTCAAATTAAAAAATAAAGGTTATTGTGGTGTATTTACAATAGGCTTAATCCGTTTTAAGTGGTCAATAACAAAAATTATGTAGTAAGATTTTTACAAGTGAATGTAGCCGAGTAACTGAGGTTCAAACCTGTAAAAAGTCTTTAGCATTTTGATATTTCCAAACTGGACTTAGTTGTCCTTGACCATTGGACGAATAACTGGTACTGTCTGGATAAACGCATATTAGTCGGTTAAATAGTTTGATCTTTCTCGATCCTACACTTATCTTTCACTCATGTTAAGGTCATTACGAGGTAAGAATTGTGATCCTGTCTTAGTGTAATGGTAATGACATTGAATGTGTATCTAAGGCAACCCTGATGCTTTTGAGTGTCTGTTTTAGCTCAAGAGGTCATGTGATGTCGTCGCCACTGTGTGATGCTGTGATGCTGTCTGTGATGCCGAGGACGACGACAGCAGCTGTCACCGTAGACACAGCTGGCAACTCGCACCTACTTGACATCCTATTTATTTGAACTGCTTCCTCAGCTTCTCTCTCCACTCTTGTCAACAGGATCTGGTCCAGTCTACACAAGCTAGAACATTTCAGGGGATGGGAATTTGACATGTGGTTCGTTAAAATTTAACATGCAATTGACTTTGCACTATTGACTTTTGGATGCTTAAACAGACATCCCATGTGCATGAAAATAGGCCAAGCTGACTTATTCAACAGTGATCAGTAATTTATTTGGTCCCATCAATGGTCAAAGATTAACTTAATTAATGGTTTGGTACAGTCAGTAACCAACATACCTAGCAAATACACGTTAAGGAATATAAATAAAGGGAACATTTTCCATGTAAACACAAATATTTGTTACTCGACAACTCTCGATCTGTAAACATTCAAGTTACTTAACGTTAGTATGTCGAGTGTCAAGAAGCCCATTATAAAAAATTGTTTTGGATGGTGGATTTTACCTGATGAGGTCGCTCTGGAAACGGTAAAGGATACGGAAGAGGCCCAAGAAACTCCACCACAAATAACAGTTTGTGTGCTGACAGGCCCAATTATTGCGGACATCATCGCTTCAGATAAACTCAAATTACCCGCATCTTAAAGTTTTACCGAATCAATTTCTCTGGACGATGATGGCCCTAAAGTCAATTTTGGCGGCCGGCCCTTCTCATGGCCAAAACATGTTTAACTCTGCTATACTGGTTTCCAGCCCAGGATCTCACACGAGCAAATTATTCAACTATATCCACACTTTATTTAATAACCAAATTGTTAAACTGTGTGAACGTGTGGACATATTGCACCTGTAGACTCCAATGTGAATCTACCAGACCCAGACCCAGGGCCAGTGGGTCTGAAGAGCCGCAGGTGGCTCCAGTCACAACTTACGACCCATGTAACCCACCCGGTGTGTGGCCGACCCATTAACAATTCTATAAACTTCGGCCACTCCTTTGTGATAATATATCGCGCATTAATACCACCAGGACTCCGGAGCGTAGGCCTCTACACCGTGGTTATTATGTCTGCCTTGTTTACGAGCCCGGCCTCCAATTTGTTCACGAATATTTTGTTCGTTTGATTGCCGCTATAATAGACCCACTCTCTCAACAGCACGTATTTAATTTAAACAGCCAGTACGGTGTACCATTAAACGAGTTATGGGAACGACTTGACACAACACGCGGTAGGTGGGTCGGGTTGACGTTATGGGTCTCTGGATATACGATTGTTGCTACGGTCGAATCGATATTGGATATTGATTAACATACAATACTTCTAGTCTCTTTGGCCTAAGTTTTTTGTTCATTGTCAACCTAGTAGAGGAGCATTGTGATAAATGTTTTTGAACAATGTAAATAGTGGTAATTACATAATCGGTGGGTTCTAGCGATCGATTGCGTATAATTGCCGAACGAATATTAAATTTTACTACACACTTTGGCAGTTCTCGCAATGTATCATCATAAAGCTTCCTTTGAAAACATATTAACGCAACAACAACAAAATTAATGAAGGTGCCCTACGTCCAACACAACAAGATGATAGAAGTAAATTAATTATGAAAGTGTCCAAACAATTAATGCTATAAATTGTGATACGTTGATGAGTAAGTATGTTGTTCATACACATAATAATGCTACATTCTTAATTATATTTTACAATTCATTCATAGGTTTTAATGGAGTCGCTATGCTTTTTCCTACCAACACATAAATTGCCCATACTTTTATTTTGTTAGATAAAAATGCATGTGAAACTTTTGCTGTTTACTCGTACAAACTTATAAATCTATGTTCATTTGAACAAGATGAGATATGTGCAGTTGACCTACCCAAATAAGTCAATCATAAATCTAGGATAACGAAAAGACTCAACATTCAGTATGATTATGAGTCAGAAGAAAAACTACCACGCAGAATCTAATAACTATAATCCTGGTATCATCTCCGTTTTCCAAGCACCACATCCCCAACATTTTAAATGTAAACATATAAATACTGTTACATAATCCCTACAGTCGAAACCCACAATAACAAACATAAATTATCTAAACCACCTAGCTAAGGTAATGAGTCAGTTAGACTGATGTTAGGGGGGGGGGGTGGATAAGATTAGTGGGGGCGATGTAAGTAACAGGAGAGAGTGATGCGAACCTACTAGTCACCGGAGCAATGTGTGTCGACCAGAGAATATGTGCGGGAATATAAATGTTGGAGCTAGAAGGCTATAAATTGGCCGGGGTGAGACGGCCTCTTTTAATATTTGCCTGTCGGCCATATTTCTTGTCGTGTAGCTCCCTAATAACACGGCGCTGTCGCCCGGAGCATCGCCTATCTAATGACTCGCCCGTGATGATTTACGTACAACATCGCTCATCGCAGACAAAGCCGTCTAAGACGGATGGTCGCAACGCTGGCAGATTATTTTTCATCGCTCTGATGGGTTATTTTTCTTTGAACATAATACGCTCTTGTACACACACGCCGGAATTCATTATTCATAATCTTTTCTTACCGGAGCTAATTGCTCCTTTTATCTTTCAGATATTAATATTTCCTGGCACCTTTGTGGGGATGTCTATCGTTAGGGAGTTGGAGAAAGAAAACTTATAATGGGAGTTAAAACATCCATTAGGGCAGTGGCTTTGTGTTGGGCCCAAGCTAAAAAAATCATGGACGTGAAATTCTCTTTTACCTTAGGTAACAAACGACTGTTTAACAAAACACTGGGAAATGATCTATGCTTCACATACATAATTTAATGTTAAAGTATTGTTAATAGATTAGTTTCAGCTTCATCGCAAAACTGACCAAACAAACAGTTGAAAATCATTTCGAAAAGCTTAAAAAATGTTCGAAAATTACCCTTCTTGTTGAAACATATTCTTTGCACCTCAAACACCTCTTTATTCTGTGCTTGGCTAATGTTATCGTTCCCGACTTCCCAACAGTATTCGAAAGTGTGTTCCTGAAGTGTTAAATGTATAGGATTTTTACAGCTATAAAATACAAGCGGCCGTGGTAAGGTGTGTCAGACAGTCAGTAATGACACAGTCCGAGACACGCCACTCTCTATCTGATCGGCCAAGTATCATTTGGCGCCATTTATTTATACAAATTGTGCTCGACCCGGCACTCAATCACACGAACACGGCTCAATGTGCCTTATACCACGTAAATCACTTCAAAGGCATTGCTTTCATCTTGTAAACGTTGAATTATTTTACAGTCTTTCTTCACATCACGCTACCTCGACAGGAAGCATTCTCCTAAGTTGGTATACATTTTATTTTGCCCTAACTCTAGAGGTTTTACTGCAGTGTTTTCTGTAAAAGATTGAATATTAACAACCGTCTATTTATTTACATTCACCTTTTAAATCGTAATTATAGGCTTTAATTTCGGTTGACTGCAATTAGTTTTAGTTTTAACCAATCTTATTATTTAGTTTTTTTTATTTATAAAAATTTGTTATAACAACCTTAATCCGTGTACTATAATCAACGGAAACAAGTGCGGTCCAGATTAATTTGGTAAATACTGCAAACCTTCTTTTGATAAAAACGTCACATTATATTTAGGGGGTTAACTACTATCGGTTCATTGACTATCGGTTTCTACGTTTCTAATATTGCGCACCGGTAGGTTCCTTGATTATAAATATCCATTACTTTAGTCATTGACAGTTTCTTACAAATTAAATGTTCTATTATAGCCTTTGAACAAATTTATTTTGATTCACTGCGAGTAAAATGTATACAATAAATAAAACATAATGAATAAATTGTGATACTATAATTTTTATTCGTAAATAAATTGTATGGCCTTTT